GGCTGGGAAATTTTTTGCAAATTTAAAAGTGTCGATATGTTGTCAAAAAAATAAGACAATCATTATCGTACACCCGCTTCAGGCTAGCAAGGGCTTTGGGATAATTTTCCGCAGTAACTTGGAAGGCCCTAACTGTTCCTAAAGCGTCTCCAGCTAAACACGAAATTAAATGATTGAATTTTTCAATATCGTGTAAAGTGTCATCTTTGTCAACGAAAGTTTCGAAAAGGCTTATAAAATTTTTAAATTCGGAGTGTTTTCCGCTAAAAGTTGGGAGAGCAACGCTCGGCAGACGGCATTGAGGCGGGCGATTTGCTGGCGGAGCGGATTTCTCGATATTATTTTGTTTGGACTTATTTAAAATTGAAATCATCAATGACTTTGTCATTACGGCCCTCTCTTCCAACTCTTCGCGGTATACGTCTTTTGTATCTTTCACTTCTATTTGGTTTTGCAAAAGTGAAGCATTTTCAATGTGCGTATTTAGAATCTCTAATCGACACTCAAGCTCAACCGGATTTATAGATAATTTAGCTTCTTTTAAGTGGCGATAAGTTCGGTTAATACTTTTCATGCAGACATCTCGTTGATGTTTAAGCTCTTCGATATCCTTAGTTGCCATTGCGTTTATTTGTATTTATTTGGTTGGTATCGAAGAGGTGTTAAATATTTATTTTTATTAAATTTTTTTTTTTTTTGTTAAATAATAAAATAAAAAATCAACGAGTACTATACCGATCGCACACGGTGTAAGGGAGCTAAGTGCCGAGAGAATTACAGCGAAAAATCTGAATAGGGTTTTTATATTTTTTATATAAACCCTGCGACAGTATATGCCGCACGCACGCACTGTAGGGGAGCTAACGCTCAAGCTCAAGCGTACCGAAAAAACGAACAAACATTTAGGCAGACCGAAAATTGCACTGCTGCAGCGATCGAGAACGAAAACGACAAAAGATAACTCGAAATAGCGGCAGCGGTGTCGGTGTGCGTGTGTATGTGTACGCGGCTAGCGGCTCTTCCTATGCAGATGCTAACGGAGAATGATACACTGACCGATAACTAAGGGCAACAAATATATAAGCCTGACGCCAAAATGCGCGCAAAATTATGAAAAGCGCGGAAAAATTGGAAAAGCACGGGAAAATTCTGAAAAGCGCGGGAAATGTTTGGACAAACTGCAGCGAAAGTTATTGCCGCTAATTTTCTGAGAGCTACAATTTTCACAAGTTGCACTTTTTTCCAGCTATTTTTATTTATACCCTAAATTGCTGCTCACTACGACGAAAGTTGGGGGAATTAAGTTCGCACTAATTGGGTCGACGACGAGTATTTTATTGTTTGTTCTTTGGCCAAAGCGATTCACATATAATTCGAAATATATTATGTTTATGTTGGTTGTTAGGACATGCAAATTTTTATTTCTTGGTTAGAATGCTCACTATCTACCGATTTTTACACGAATGCAAAAAATTGAAAGATGGGCCAAAACACAATTGACAAAACGCCACAGATTAACTTTCAACTTTTGGCACTCTATACCTGGATGGCCGACTTGATAATTGCAACTTCCTTTTTGTCTTCCATTTGGCGGCAGCAGCAAATTGAGCAATTAAAATTGCCGAAACGTCAGGCGCAACTTCAAGAACGGCAGAAAATTTCCAGCGACGAAATTATTGAATTTAATTTATATGAAAGTTTAATACTATTTTGTATTAACAACGCGAAAACTTTGTGAACGCAGTAGTTCTGGCGATTTTAATTTGCGTAAAATTGTGAAACTATGTCGAAAGCGCGACGAAAAGGAGTGGCTACGATGGTGTTCGATGGATCACTAACAATTATACTTCAATAATTTCTCTTAGAACCTAACTTATGCTACGGTGGCGAGAGACGGGGCGAATTCGCAAGAGCGAACAGACGAAAGCTTTATTGGCTCCCGCTCTCGCCCTACAACTAGAGATTTAAATACAAGCGCTGAGTGCGCAAACAATCATAATTTTTAATGTTTTCAAGAATATTTAGTTTTTGCAATAGCTGCAAGGGTATATGAACTTCGACTTGCCGAAATTGCTTCCATTCCTGTTTAACAGGCTTTTAATCCTGAACTGAAATTATCGAACTGAACCGTTGCTCTAAGAATTTTAAGACGTTGGATAACACTTTATTTCTTTATTTTTTAACGTGGCTCTCATATCATTGTAGAGCTTTTTTAATGATTTTGTTTTTTTAACTAAATCAACTGTGCCTTAAATTTTATCATGTGAATTGACTTGTTTATTGTGTCAAGAAACATTCTTAATTGCCTAACTGAGTTAATATCTAAAACTGGAAGCTCAAGAAGGCATTTGATTGTTCGGAATAAATGTTCCTTTCATACCGCTTGGTTGACAGTTCCCAAGCGCCCTCAAAAGTATCCCCACATTCCAACCATAAGTGAGAAACCACATTTTTAGTTTCTCCCTTAAGTTAGATCTTGAGGTAACTACATTTTAAGGAAGGACTTAGGTCCTCTCTTAAGTGCACTAAATAACTTATCAAACAGGTCCCATTCTTTGGAATCTCCAAAGAATGTGGGTACCTAAATTTTAGGTAGCGTTGTCAAATCATCCATGTTGAATTTTGGTAACTGCTACCTTTCTTGGCACAATTTCCACGAGTTTTTTCTTCATATTTTTAGTTACTGTCGAAATGTCAAACTCTTATTCGTTTAACTCTTCGTCATAATTCTTATCAGTGACATCAATCTGGTAGACTATTTTAAGCCCAACTACGTGTTCGCAATAAAATTATATTTTTCAATCCTGTCTTCAAAGGTCTCTTTTAAATACTTAATTTCTCGATTGTTTATCTTGTTTGCCGACTACTTTAGGAACCATTTTGGTGCAACTAGCTTTACTTAGTCGGTTTCCTCAGCTTTGATCAAAACGTATCTCTTATTGATGTTGGTGAAGCACAACATCATCTGCTCATATTACGATTTTCTGAAGTAGTCATGGTCGACTACTCCATTTTTACTAATGCCGAACTTATGCATTCGCCTCTTAAATCGTCAGCGGACAACATTTTTTTATATATATGTAGGAATCAGAAACAAGTCAGAAGAGCAAGATATGCGTTCTGATATGCGTGAACGTACCAGATCAGGAGAGAAAATTTCTAATAAAGTCACTCGATGCAGCAGGTAACATTCGAGCAATAAAAGGTAGCGTTGACTAGCAAACCAGTTTTGAAACTGTACAATCCTAGATTGGCTACGGAAATACACACGGATGCGTCGAAGTTTGGTTTTGGTGCAGTTCTTCTACAAAAGTATCCAGAGGAAGGACAGTTATACCCTGTTATGTACATGAGTAGAAAATCTGAGCCTTGTAAAGTCATAGGAGCGTTGACAAAATTGCGAATTTATTTTTGGGAACGAAGTTCAAAATCATCACGGATTGTAACGCATGACGATGAAAAAGAAAGAAGTTCAGTTGCGAGTGGTACAAAGATGAGACATGTAGACGCACTGAGTCGAGTAGCTTGTTTTGTGTTGTCTGACAGTATAATGCACTCGTCCTGTTTCTGTTACTGCTTTTACCGACTTTTAATCATGGGTTTACCGAGTGCACTTTCTATTGGTTTAATTGCTGGCACTAGGTCAAGTATTATTGTATTAGTTATTTCCGGTTTCTAGACATTTACGACCCTATTAAGCACACAAAAAAAAAACTATGTAGAACCAACGATTTAATTGCTAAAACCGTCTATGAAAATTGTTAATTTCCCATGAAAAGTTGTTACATTTCTATTAAATAGTGGGACCGCCAAAAAATTTAGTATTGACTTTAAAATGATTGCATAACCAGAGTAACAGCGACAGAGCATGTCAATAGTTTGTGAGCCTTATATTTAATTGCGTTCTTGAAATGGAGGTGTCTCTGAGAGGGTAGAGGCGGAGATTTATAGTTTTATAATTAATACTTAGTCAATTTGCTGATAATTAGTAAATTCTGTAAACTCCAATCTGAAAAAATACTTACATTTTTAATGTGGCCGGGGTTGAGTGCTGAGCAGCGTAACACTACTCTATGCTGGCAATTATGTAAGCCATGTCTAATTTAAAGACTTTTTCATGACCAGTCATTTTAAGCTTAGTCAATAAAAATATTGGCCACATATGTCCATGGGTTTTTACCAATCTTTTAAGAATAATTCTTTCAGTTAAATCTTATAAAAAAAGACAGAAAAGAACAGACCGCTTTGGGATTCGTTGCTCAGATTTCTAGCCAAGCGTCTTACCCTCTGACCCACGAGCTAACAAGTTGGGGCGATTGCAAGTTGTGTATTTAACACTCATTAAAATTGACAGCCGATGAAGTCGTCAAAACAAAAATAATTAATTTACGATATAACATTGTTACCTATTGGAGAAAAAATATATAAGAGAAAAATTAAAATGTTATTATTTATATTTATGTTTTCATGTTTCTATTAACTTGGAAATAAAACAAATAAAAATAGTAGGTATTGCACCAGCAAAATAAAGAAGAAAAATAATGTTTTTGTTAACAATTTTAATATTAGTTTTATTAAAGTTTGGATTATTGGACTGAAAACCAACAACAAATTACATAAAAAAATTAAATATAAAAGTAAAAATTTTACAAAGTTGGTTTTTTAACATTTGTTTGTGTGTATATAATTTGTAAAGAATCTTTGTTTGTGCGGCTTTCGCTACGGAAAGCCGAACGGATTTTTATTTGGTGTGGTGGGTCTTACTGAAATATACAAATTAACTTCTCTATGTTAAATTTTTTTAAAACATAAATTTTAATAATACTTTTTTGGGCTTGCTCTGGTGAAAAATCTGCAAAACCCTAACCCCATTTGGGTTACTTACTTGCACACATGCCCGTGTTTGTAATTCAATTTCGCGACATGAAAAGGTACTTTGACTCCACTCAAGCAGTACTCCGATAATTACCCTGTATAAGTATGACTATTATCTTTTTCAGTTTGCCAAGCAGGTCGTCTCTAACTTGCATCGCAAAAAGATTGGACACAAGCGCATGTTAGTCAGTTACACTCGCGATTCCTCCTTGACTGAGATCAAGACGCTTCGTTGCCAGGTCGCGGGGCTCCTAAAGGTAAACATGATTTCGTTTTCCCAACTTACTTTCTTATGAAGTTTACTTTTTAGGATGTCCCCTACTATGCACTCCCCATGTATAAGTTCAGAGAGCTCTTTCAGTCCCGCTTTAAAACCTCAATCAGTGTTCTGGACTTGTATAAAATGCAGGACATATGTACCATCAATTCAGACATCAACGAGGATAAGTTCATCAGTTTAAAGCCGGAACTAGTGAACACCCTCGAGAGCTCACCGTTAATGGAAGGTCTTCAACACAGCGTTCCCTACTGTAGTATTCATCTTAAGAGAGAGCAACACAAGGGATGGGCTGAGCAGGAAATCGAACCGTTGCCAAATGTCCACATGACCATTTCGGAGATTCAGAAACTGATATACCCGCTGCTGAGGGTGCATCCGGGAGACATTCCAGTGGCTACCCTACTTCACTGCATTAAAGGGCAACTTAAAGCTTCAATAGTGCCGAATGAAAGCGGTGTCAACTTGGAGCATTTGGTTTGCTGTGTCCAAGGAATTCAGATTCAGATGAATAACTTTGGTATTAAAATTCTAGGCTGGTTGGAGCTAAGCAAGGATATGCCCTTGCAAGCTACTGGCAGCTCAAATGCAAATAGCCTAAACGTCAGTGACCGTGCTAATTGTTCGGGAGGGAGCTACTTCAAAAATTCTGTTGCCGATCCGCTCTTTCAAATCTCCCGCGAGGTAATCGAGTTAGTTAAGATGTCGCCAAAATCTACTATGAAGTTTAATCGCTTTATTCCGGCCTATCACAATCACTTTGGAAAACAATGTAGAGTGGCAGACTATGGATATACAAAGCTAATCGAACTCTTTGAGGCATTGTCTTCTGTGGTGCAGATCATGGGAGACGGCGAAAATCGACAGATCACGCTGACGCATCGCACTCAAATACGTAGGTTCACCTCAGACCTATTGCGTGTTCTTCGCGCTTTCGGTAACAATTCTGTGCTGCTTTCTCAGTTGCCGGGAATTTTTTCCCAAGCCCTAAATCGGAGTTTCGACGTCACGGATTATGGAGTGTGCGACATTGCAGACATACTAGATGGCTTGGTGAACTCGAACATCGTCGTTCTAAGCAATGTACAGCACGGAAAAGATATTCTTATATCAATGCCAAAACGCAAACAGACTAGCAGTGAGTTGGAGAAAACAAGTGTGTTCGCCGGTGAAATGGTGGAGCTCTTAAAGAATTCCCTTCAGTACTCTGTTCAGTTTCAAAAGTTTGTAAGATCCTACCATTATCACTTCGCCTACCAATGTCGTCTCAGTGACTACGGCTTCCTTAAGTTGGCAGACCTTATGGATGCTATTCACGGCTTAGTCGAGATGGAGTTGACCAATGATGAAGACAAGAAAATAATACTCTCACCAAAAGTGGCTAGACGTGTGTTTGGTGAGCAATGTGAGGATCTTATACGTAGCGTTACTGGCAGTGCAACACACTGTATGAAGCTAGATCAGGTGTTAAAGCTTCACAAAAAGAAATATGGCTACCAGATTCAACCTAAGACTCTGGGAGTCTCGGATATGGTTACGGCAGTTAAGCTGTTGCCCTACGTTGAGTTAAAGCAGAAAGATCAGACAATTTGGCTTATCTGTCATAATAATGACGTACAGTTTCGCCTTCTTTGCTATAGAGCATGTAAGCATCTCGTTCAGCGGGACCTTTCGGCATCGGTTTTGTCACCAGCAACAAATTATGCCAATTTAGGAGCTCAATCTTCAATATTACCAAGAGCTTCTCAGAAGACTCAATTTGTAAGCGAATTCAATGCTAAGCACAAAATCCAGATCACCGAGCAGGCTCTTTCAGCCATGCGACATGCAATTGAGGTTAGCTATTGCATATTTATATCGGCCTTTAACCCAATGAATTATTTTTAATAGATTTATAATAGCGACGGCATACAGTATGTTCGCCTAACCGGATTCATGAAACTGTTAATTGCCATTGTGCGTATACTAGAACAGCGGCCAAGCATGTATCTATGCGACATCAAAAACGCTTTGGACAGTGACTTTGCTTCTATTTTTGAGTTTGGATTCCCCAATCTCTATTCAGTGATTGCAGCACATGAAGACCTCTTTACGGTGAACAATGGACCAACCCAGGAACGGAGCGATGTTTCTCTGAATCCTAACTGCGAGTGTGAGTATCACCAAATAACCTAGTTGATTTAAATAATCTTAATTTTGATTTTGTCTCTTCGAAAGTGCGTCATATTTCATTAATAAATCAACACTTGGGTGGCCTCGCAAAGATGTCCAATGTAAAGCATATAGCACAAGTCAGCTTCCGTACTCCCATAGACGAGCATGTCAACCTCCTACCAACTCAGTCCCCACAAAGTAGCCTATCAATGGCCAACGATTGTGCGAAGACCGTTGTCAATACGTGCAACTTTAAGTTTAATAACTTTCAATCTTATGACGATCTCTTTGCGACGGATAATTACATCATTTCACCGCTGGCCAATTCTTTTATTGACTCATCATTGCTCAATAGTTTCGGGTCAGCTCTTGAAAGTGGTAGTTTGTGTAAAAGTTTCTGCAACAAAGAGAACTCGATGAACTCATCGAGTCAATTATTAAACAGTTCATTAAACTCGTCTAACGAGCTAAATGCGAGTCTCGGAGCTGGAGATTTAGCTAATATAACCTCCAGCACAGCCATCTCATCGGATACTTTATATGATCACTCATCGTTCAAACTTTGTCATAGACGTAATGCATGCTTTAATAAGCTTTGTAAAAACATGCCGATTCATTTGGATAGTGACACTGATGAAACCAGCAATTTGGTCAGCGGACCGTCAATAGGATCTATTTATGAGCCTCTGAAAAATGAAACGCCAACAACAAAGGTAAGAATAAAAATAAATACGACACAAACTAAGTTGTTCTTAATTTCGTGGAGTCATACAATTTTTTTCAGCAACAGAAACTATCTTTTTGGAATGATCCCATTTGGAGCGCACGATCGGATCAGCCGAGGCACAATATTCTCAACATACGACTACCTGAGCTTAAAACAAATAATATGTTCCCTATATTGCTTTCACCCTATACCATTTCAAAAAACGAGAACTTAAAAAGGCAGCTGTTTAATTTTGAAAATCATGTTCGTAAAATTGCCTAATGCAGTATGTTCTTTCTTTATTTGTATTGATTTTGGCTAATGTTAATTCCATACACTACCGTATTCGAATAGCAAACTGAAAATAAGAGAGCGCCTTGGAATAATTTTCTAGATGATTACATTTGTTAAATTATACATTTTATATAATATCAGCCAAAATAAATCTGTTTATTTGTATTGTAAGCAAACTCTATTAATAATAGCATTACTTGAAGTAGAAACGTTAGTTGTCCTAGTCCTTAACATATTAATTGTTAGCCGGCTCGAGGTCAGGATGTTGAAAAAAAAACACAAAATTATTTTAATTTTGGTTATTTGTCAATATATTTCTGTTGCTCTTCGCAACCGTCTTCAGGACAACTATAAAATAATTACAACGATTTTAATATTTTTAACAAACAGAAAACAATTTACATTTGACATAAATTTAATTTACACGTCTGCGTCCGGTGACGTGGAGTTGTTAACTAATTTTTCATTCCCTAGTAAGTGTCTATATAAATGATCGCAATTGTCAGTGTCCATTTTGTAGTTCATCCGTATGTCTGTAGGTGTTTTTATGATATGTAGCATTTCTATGGTGAATCGTTTGGCATAGTGTTGTTCTTGTGATAAAATACTCGCCTCTTCGAAGTTCGGTGAGTGATTACTTTTGGCACAGTGGGACATGAGTGCTGTTTTTTGCGCGTTCGTATGATATCTAGCTTTGAAGTCCGATTTATGTGGTGCTAGTCTAGTTTTTAGTTTAGGTTTTGTTGTTCCTATATATATCATGTTGCATATTTCGTTGTTGTTGCCGTTGCACGGTATTTTATATATTACGTCTTTTGTGTCAATTTCATTAATTTTTTAATTAATTTTGTTCTGTTGTATATAGATTTTAGTGTGTGGTCCGGTTTATGTGCGATATTTATGTTTTCTTTGTCGTAGTATTCCGATTTCGCTACACGTTCGGATAATGCCGGGACGTATGTAATTGACATATATTTTTTGTTTTTATTGTTTTTAACGCTATTTTGTTTTTTTGTTTTGTGTTCCGATATTAATGTTTTTATTATGTGTTTTGGGAAATCATTGTCTGTCAACATTGATTTTATCTCCTGGGTCGTCTCTTCGTGGTAATCCGTGTCTGAAATTTTGAGCATTCTATGTATACAGCTTCTAGCTGTATTTATTATCATTTGTTTTGGGTGTTTGGAGTTGAAATTGATGATTCGTCCGGACGCAATTGGTTTCTTGTACCATTTTAATTTTAATCGGTTTCCACGTCTAATTATCACTGAGTCCAAATAAGGTAATTGGTCGTTTTCTTCTACTTCCATTGTAAATTTTATATTATTGGTGAAAGAGTTGAGCATGGTCAGTGTAGTTTTAATTTCATCCTCTTAAATGATTGCGAACAGGTCCATAAATATTGTTTGCGGTATTTTACTGTGTTTTTGTATTATTGTCCATTTGTTTTTAAATATATCCAGGGCTAAATCTGTCGGTATACTCGGAAATAATGAAATTACGTCAAATGAAATTAATCTTTCATCGTCGCCAATATATGTGTTGTTGATTTTGTCTTTGAATTCTTCAGAATTTTTTATTTTATATTTGGAGTCTATTGTTATGTTTTAAATATGTCAATTATGTATTTGCATAGTGGATAGAATGGTAATCGGATGGAGGGGCAGATTGGTCTTAGAGGGGTTCCTTCTTTATGAATTTTGGGTAGTCCATATATTCGTGGTGGTAATGCTGTGGTGATTGTCAACTTATTTCTTTCGATCCTTGAGATAAGTTCCATTTTTAATAGTTTATCCACTATTTCGTTATTTGTTGTTTGTAGTCTAGAGGTGGGGTCTTTCCTTAATGTCCTGTATGTGTTCATATCCTTTAATATGTCCTTCATTTTTTGGTTGTAGTCGTCTTTGTTCATAGCTACCGTCTTGTTACCTTTGTCTGAGGTCAATATTAAAATGTCGTCATTTTCTTTAAGAAATCTCCTTGTTTGTCCCACTGTGTCTAGTATTGAACGATCAAATGCACTTTCTTTGTTTGATGTTTTGTGGTCTTTGATAAGCAAAGAGAATTGTGTTCATCTTGTTTCTCTTTGTCAATAATAGTTTTGAGGATTTCCTCTCCGTCCGCAATGTATTTTAATTGGGAGCGCGAGCTTTGGACCAAAGTGATTTTATTGCTGGCGGGAATTCGGTGTCCGTTTTGCTTACAAACTAATCACCTGTTTTTTTGTTGTCTGTTAGAACTTTGCTCCGTTCCATCTGCAGTCTTTCTAGTTTCTTTATTTGTCTCATCTTGGTTGTTTTTGTTAGTTTTTTGGTAATGTTCTGCTCGCTCTCCATAAATGATAGTCCGATGATTAAAAATCTGCTGAGATGGTCCGATCGTAACCAGTAATACACCAATTGAAAGGTATCGCTTGAAGAATAAGGATTGCATGCAAAGACTTAAGGAATATTAAATGCTCGGTTGAAAAGTTATTAAAAAAAACTTTTTTTTTAATATAGTATGAAAATTAAAAATATTTCAATGTCTGTTTGTCAGTTTCAAGAGTAAGAATCGGGCAATAAACTGGGCATACACAAGCTTAACATCATCTGCAAAGATTAAAACAGTTGCGGATCTAATAATTTGTGGTAGATCATTTATCAACCAGGCAAATACTGTGTGGTTTACCGAGTCAAAATCTTTCGAAAAACCGGTATAGATAACATCAGTTTATTGTTTATTTAGAAAACTACGATTAGCTAGTTTGGTAAACTCAAGCAAATAATTTTGGATTAGCGCTATATAAGACTTATTTCCTTTTTTATAGAGCGGAACAATAAAGAATTCCTTCCTGAGAGATAGAAAATTAAACTGATTTATGGACATATGAAAAAGCGTTGTGAGGGGACGCGAAAGATAATTTGAGTAGTTTTTGATGACCACTTCAGATCCAGGTGAAACTGAAAGATAGTTAAAATCACTATTTGTATGGAAAATAGACGAAGTAGACTGGAAAAAGTCTGCAAAAAGATTAGAAATACCAATTTCATCCGAGGCAGCAACATTATTAAGAAATAGAGAGGGGGAAAGTATTGGGACTTACGTTTCGAAATAACAAAAGAGAAAAATAGCTTCGCATTACTTTTAAAGACAATTTTACAGCGTGCAGGGTAGTTTTTAAAACATTCAGAATTATGTTGATCCCAGTCGGATTTGACTACCGAACATTTAGGAAAGTCAGACTGTGAGCCGGTCTGTTTGCATCGTTTAAAGAGTCTAGATTTCGTATTCTTAAGCTAAGGATGTTTTCGAGTAAACTACGAAGAGCTATACGAAGTACTAACATATCGAATTAACTATAGAGATCTTTATAAAAATACGAAACAGCTTCAGTAATAGGAAGATTCATTAGACATGACCAATCTGTTAAAGACAAAGAATATTCCCCAATCTCTATTCAGTGATTGTAGCACACCTAGACCTTTTTTTGGCGAACAATGGACTAACCCAGGATCGAAGCGATGTTTTTCTGAATCTTAACTGTGAGTGTAAGTACCACCAAATACTGATTTTGTCTCTCCTTGAAAGTGCGTCAGATTTAATAAATAAATCAACACTTGGGTGGCCTTGCAAAGATATCAAATGTAAAGCACTTAGCACAAGGCAGCTTTCGTACTTCTATAGACGAGCATATCAACCTCCTACCTACCCATTTGGCTTTGGTTTTGGCACTAATTAGTTTTGAATATACTTTTGATTAAGTCCATTAAGAATTCTAGCTGTTTTCCGTTCCCCGTGGTTGCATTAAAGTATGGTAGTTAGGAACGATTTATTCTAAAAAATAACGTTTTGACATATCTATGTATTCTTGTTTTTCGGTATCGCTTTGCCATACATATCCTTCCTGAAGTTCGTTTACGTTATTTTCATTTACTAACTGATAATACTCTTGTTCTGAACTTGATGTGGCTTCTTCTGAATTTGCTGCGCGGTACTTTCCGTCTCTGGTTGAATATGGAACTGTCTTGGCATCTTGTTATTATTTGGGACATTAGCGTTGCTGAGAGGTCTTTTCCCTGCATAACCATTATTTGCTGGTATGTTCATATAAATTATATGAATCGATCGAACTGACTGATCGGCGTCCATATGTATCGGTTTCGGTTGTGGTCGTGGCGGAAATTTTGTTTGTCGGCCACCATCCGATATGGTTGTTGGGGTTTGGGTGGTAGCACGGGTGCCCTCTCAAAATACGGAGTTTTTGGTGTCTGGTTATTCAGAGCATTTTGGTTCTCTAGCAGACTACATAAACTACATAAACACGCTCTACGCGTGTTCTAAGTCATGTGGCTCTTTAATGGCCAGCAATTGTGCCAGTTTTCCATTAAGGCCTCTGAAAAAAGTGTAAATATTAGTGATACAATTTACTTATTGTCATTAGACAGATTGTAAATAAAATTAAATTTAAAAAAAAAAAAAAAAAAAAAAAATTGTTTTATCTGTATATTTCCTTTACTAGGCTACTGAGATTAATCACTCTCCGAACTTCGAAGAGGCGAGTATCTTATCACAAGAACAACACTATGCCAAACGATTCACCACAGAAATGCTACATATCATAAGAAAACCTACAGACGACATACGGATGAACTACACTGACAATTGCGCTCATTAATATAGACATTTACTAGGGAAAGAAAAATTAGTTAACAACTCCACGTCACCGGACGCAGACGTGTAAATTAAATGTATGTCAAATGTAAATTGTTTTCTGTTTGTTAAGAATATTAAAATCTTTTTGTATTATTTTATAGTTGTCCTGAAGACGGTTGCCGAAGAGCATCCGAAATATATTGACAAATAACCAAACTTAAAAAAATTTTGTTATTTTTTCAACATCCTGACCTCGAGCCGGCTAACAATTAATATACTTTGGAAAGTTCGATAAAAACCAACTAGGTTTAATTTAACTTTTTAATTTTAGTTATTCAGAAGTTTTTTTCTAAGAATTAGGGTGTAATTTTTTTATTATGGGGTGGATTTTTGTACCTATTGTGTGGCGATTTTTATTTTCACTATGTTTTGGGACTTTTTTACTTACTTAAATGTGTCTTCTACACTTCATATTTGGGTAAAACTTTTTTTACATCGT